TTCTGAAAAATTATACAAATAAGATCTGAGAAAAATTTTTCACCAAGGGCCTTTGTATGTACGTCGGACCTGCTCGCGCGTCAGACGAAGCAACTGCCATCTAAGGAGCGTTTAGTAAATTACAAGTGCAGTCGGTAAGTCATGCAGTAGGTAAGTCTTATGGTAAGTAGTTGATACAACCATTAGTAATCACCCTGTATATATACACACTACGCAAAAAAATTAAAGGATCACCTAGTCGGTCCTCAAAAATAGGTAAAAATTCAGAAGAGTGTAACTTCGTCAAAAATGATCATAACGAGATTTTTATAAAAACATTTTAAAGCTTGAAATCTCTACTTTCGAAATTAGTAATTGATATTTCGATCTAATTGATTTTTTACGTAGTTATACGAACAGAAATGGGTATCCGTCAAATCTGTAAATTTTGTACAAATTTTACAAAGATGTATGGCATGAACTAAAAATTGCACACAAATGCGATTTACAGCAGTCGAAAGAGTGAATCTTTACCTTTAATTTACTTTTTTTATTGAACGTTGTACGATTTTTTTTTCACCGAATTATTCAACATTCAAGTAAAAGGGATCATTTTTGCTTCAATGTTGAATAACTTATTGAAAAAAAATCGTTCAATAAAAAAGCAAATTGAAGGTAAAGATTCACTCTTTCGACTGCTGTAAATCGCATTTGTGTGCGATTTTTAGTTCACGCCATAGACCTTTGTAAAATTTTTACAAAATTTTCAGATTTGACGGATATCCATTTCTGTTCATATAGCTACGTAAAAAATTAATTAGATCGAAATATCAATTACCGATTTCGAAAGTAGAGATTTCAAGCTTTAAAATGCTTTTTTAAAAATCTCGTTGTGATCATTTTCAACGAAGTTACACTCTCCTGAATTTTTACCTATTTTTGAGGACGGACTAGGTGATCCTTTAATTTTTTTGCGTAATATATATATATATACACATACATACACACACATATAATTAAAGTTTCTAGCTTTTATTCGTTATTTTATTTATATATTCTAATCTGTGTGTCAATTACTACTTTGTTTACATTTTTCTTTTTTTTATATATTTTTGTACAAATTTCATTTATAAATATTTTTTTCAAAATATTATACATATTATACATTACGAAATAAAATCATTCTATTAATTACGTACTACCCTCTTTGCCGTCCTTCCCTTTTGTCCTGTACAACCCCAATTTCTGACTAGGAGGAGTAGTGGTGCGTTCAACTATTTGATAACCAGCAGGCGGTGTTATGTTCAAAATATTAGCAAGATCTTTAAGTACACCCATTATATCATCGGCAGCCTGACTATTCAAAGTTAAGGTCACGGTGACATTTCCGCTTTCTCGTAAAGGAATCGGAGGGGATTTGCCAACCCTAAAGAATTATATAATATTATAAAAAATATTCCATATATATATATATATATATATACACACAGGGTGTT